AGCAGGAGGTAGGAGGGTCAGCGGGGACCCATGACCCTCGCCCTCTCTGGCATGACCAAGTTAACCCAGCTGCCCTGGCCCAAAGGCCTCACCACACCCTGTCTGTCTCTCTCTCCCATGTACACTTGGGCCTCCTGTGCCAGGCGAAGGGGGGCACAGGGGAGCACTGAAGGGCCGGAGTTCAGCCTCAGTCCCTGCACTTATCCCATTTATGCGTGGGGTCACCTGGCAGCACAGCCTGCCTATCTGCACCTGCCCCCGCCTGGCATCAGCTGCAGCCTCTGCCTGGAGCCCTCCCCCGCCTCTCCAGAGCAGAGCCTGCTCTCCTGCTCTGGAGAAACCTCCCCAGGGTCTGTCCAGTGTGGAGATGGCCATGTGGCCGGGGGCGGTCTCGGAGGCAGGGAGGAGGAAGAGCAGTGGGCAGGGGCACCGGCGTGCCTGCTGGGAGGACCGCAGGGAGTGGGTCTTGGGGCAGGCAGGTGTAGAGGGGCAGCCCGGGGGTCCTGTCCTGCCGTGAGAGGGCCTTGGGCTCCCGGCTGTGCTCAGGCTCATCGGCCCCTCCCCCTGTGGCTACTGTTGCAGGAAGCAGCCGCCTGGGCAGCAGTCCCCGTGCTGGGCGGAGGGAGGGTGGTGGCTGGCAGGGGCCTCGACCAGGAATGTGTGTCCAGGAATGTGGCTGCTCTGCCCGTCGGGGGTGGGGCGGGGGCAGGATGGAGGGTAAGGGGGTCCTAGAACGCCTACAGGGCGGAATGCAGTGGCTTCTGACTCTGCTTGGACTAGGTTGGGGGGTCTCCCTGAGTCCCTGCCTGTTTGCCTAAGGCCCCACCAGGGGTGGGGGCACACGGCGATGAGCTCACCCGTCTGTGGCTGCCCGGGGCCCTGGCCAGGGAGTCCGGGGAGGCTCCGGGATTGGCACCGCTTCAGTGGAAAATGTGAAGGGACGGCTCCGGCGCCTCTGAGGGCGGGGGGCACAGCGCCACACGCCACGTCACACCGCAGGGCTAGGGCACGTGTCAGGGTGCCTGGGTGCTGCCTCGAGGCCAGTCCCCTGCCTCTCCCGTTCGCCCGCCTTTGTCTCCTGGGGGGCATGGAGGGATGGTGTGTGTGTGGTGCCGACACGCTGGCCTGCTCCCTCAGGATGTCCGGAACACGGTGGGCAACGTGCCCCTAGAGTGGTACGCCGACTTCCCCCACGTGGGCTATGACCTGGACGGCAAGCGCATCTACAAGCCTGTGCGCACCCGGGACGAGCTGGACCAGTTTCTGGACAAGATGGAGGACCCTGACTACTGGTGAGCCTGGGGGCGGGGCCTGTGGGGGTGGGATGGGGGCAGGAGCTCAGCTCATGGCTCTGATGGGCGGTCCCCCAGGCGCACCGTGCAGGATCGGATGACAGGGCACGACGTGCGGCTCACAGATGAGCAGGTGGCCCTGGTGCGGCGGCTGCAGAGGGGCCAGTTTGGGGACGTGAGCTTTGACCCCTATGAGGTAGGTGGCACTGGCCGGCCCTCGGGCTCTGGGGCACCTGCAGGGTCTGGCTCACACGCCTGTGCTTGCTCCCTCAGCCTTCTGTGGACTTCTTCAGTGGGGAGATCATGATCCACCCGGTGACCAACCGCCCTGCTGACAAGCGCAGCTTCATCCCGTCTCTGGTGGAAAAGGAGAAGGTGGGTTCCCCTCCCCCAGGGAGCAGTCCCCACACCGCCCAGGCTGACTCGCCCGTCTGCGCAGGTGTCCCGCATGGTGCATGCCATCAAGATGGGCTGGATTCAGCCCCGCCGGCCCCGGGACCCCACTCCCCACTTCTATGACCTGTGGGCCCAGGAGAACCCCAACGCTGTGCTGGGCCGCCACAAGATGCACGTGCCTGCCCCCAAGCTGGCCCTGCCTGGCCATGCTGAGTCCTACAACCCGCCGCCCGAGTACTTGCTGAGCGAGGAGGAGGTGAGTCTGGCTCGGGCGGGGGATCCAGGCGCTGTCCCATGCCCCACTCACGCCCACGACCAGCTCATGCCCTGTCTCCACAGCGCCTGGCTTGGGAGCAGCAGGAGCCTGATGAGCGGAAGGTCGGTTTCCTGCCGCGCAGGTTCCCGAGCCTGCGGGCTGTGCCCGCCTATGGCCGCTTTGTCCACGAGCGCTTCGAGCGCTGCCTGGATCTCTACCTGTGCCCACGCCAGCGCAAGATGCGGGTAGGTGGGGCTGGCAGTGCCTGAGCAGGGGATGGGGCAGGGGACGGGGCAAGGGGCAGGGTGACCACGTGCACTCTCACCCCAGGTGAATGTGGATCCTGAAGACCTGATTCCCAAGCTGCCACGGCCGCGGGACCTGCAGCCTTTCCCAACGTGCCAGGCCCTGGTAAGTAGGCACGAGGGGGTGGGTAGCCTACTCCCCTGGGTGCCCACCACCTCACTGGTTTTCTCTGCAGGTCTACAGGGGCCACAGTGACCTTGTCCGCTGTCTGAGCGTCTCCCCGGGGGGCCAGTGGCTGGCTTCAGGTGGGCCTGAAGAGGGGGCAGCACAGCGCAAGGGATGGGGCTGGGTGGGACGGCAGGTGCTGAGGGCCTTGCCCACTGTGTCCACCAGGCTCAGATGACGGCTCGGTGCGGCTCTGGGAGGTGGCCACTGCCCGCTGCATGAGGACCGTGCCTGTGGGGGGTGTGGTGAAGAGTGTTGCCTGGAACCCCCACCCTACCATCTGCCTGGTGGCCGTGGCTGTGTAAGTAAGCGTGAGGTGGCAGCGGCCCGGGGCAGCGGGGCAGCCATGTCTGAGGGGTGTCTGTGGCCGGCAGGGAAGACACAGTGCTGCTG